ATTTGTATTCACTGCGTCAGGTTTTCACTTTTGAGCGATTTGAGATCTTTATGATTTCCATTATTATGGTTGAAGAAAAAACTATTGCTCAGTCCACCCCAGGGCAGCTGTGGCTCAAGGGTGCCATAGGGTGCATCTTTAGATCAAGATTCAGATTTACTTATCAATGTGTATCATCTGTATACCACATCCTTAAAAAACATAAAAAGTAAAGTACTTGCATTTAAAGATAAGTTCTGAAGAAAAGAGCGATGCCTTCAGCACAGAGCAGGTAGTGGGGGAGGGGTGTTAGGTCAGAGAGTGTTTTGGTGTCCGCGTGTACCGGATGTAATATTGTATTGGGTTTTATTGTTTCTAAACAATTGTGTTAAAAAAACGTTTTGTCTGTGTTGAATGAGTAAGGCGATGGTAAGTTTTATAAACGTCTCCCTTTTCTGAACATACATTGATCAATCAATAAATGTCTGTTGATTGATTGATTTTTGAGTGTCCAAAAAGTGCTATTCAAAACCTAAACATAAATGGGGTGATTTTACGCAACTTGATTGTTTTAGTCTAGAAGAAAATATTCATCAGAATTCGTATGTGGTAATGTGACATGGACAGACGCATGTTCTTGGATTTTGTGTTTGTGGTTTGGAGCCTTGTGATTCAAATATGGAATTTAATCATTCCTTGCTTAAATGTATGTTAATTGTCTAACTTTGAGCTGATCGTCTTGCTTTTCCTTGCGATTATAAAGAATTGACAAAAACAATGACATTGTTATTTTCAATGACAAATGAAATCTGTTTTAAGCATTGATAAATTGTATTTATCAATGCTTAGAACAAATTTAGTTTGTTTTTGTTTTATTTTGATTAGTGTAGCTATTGTTCACTTATCTTGTGCTGTGTGCTCCTCTTTCCTACTGTTCTATAACTTGTGATGCAACACTGAAATTTCCCCACTGTGGGACGAATAAAGGATCTCTTAATCTTAATCTTTTGCACATAATTCTGTTTTGGCATCCTGATTGAAAAAAAATTTATAGGAACCATTACACATTTTTACCCTGTTGCCATGGTAATGATAAACACTCCTCATTCAGTGTCAATGGGGAATACGTTAAATCTCTCAAATTTACAGCTTGTAAAATTAACAAACCAGTCTGATTTGGTTCAAATTCACTCTCCACCTCATCTCAAAAAGTGTAGGGCCAAAAGTAAGCTGCGGATTATTGATCAATTAAAAGTGGCGCTACAGCCGTTCGAGGGCCGTTCTTTTTTGGACACTCAAAGACGCTTTACATGTCATAATTCTTTCACTCCATACACGGTGGTGATAAACTACTACTGTAGCCACAGCTGCCCTGGGAACACTGACAGAAGCAAGATAACCAGTATGTGCCATCAGCCCTTCCGATCACCACCAACCATTCACACACACACTCAATGGTGGTAAAGTGTCTTGCCACACAACATCAGCAGACAGTGGGAGTCGATGGTGAAGGTCGGGCTCGAACCCACGACCCTCTCAAAGGCCATTGCTCTATCAACTGAGCTACTGTCGCACTGTTGGTAGAGCATTGGCCTTTGGGCCTGAACGTCGTGGGTTCAAGCCCACGACCTTCAGCCACAAGACCTACTTCACGAGTCCCACTGATGACTGCTGTCATTGTGTCCTTGGGCAAGACACTTAACCTCACTTTGTCTGGAGCCCCCACTGAAAGATCAAGGCTCCTGTGGACTCACCGCCTGCAGGAGGATCAGTGAGGGGCTGGTGCTCTGTGTACTGGGTGCAGCTCTGACTGGCAACCCCCCCGACCTAGAAAGGGATTAAGGGGAAGCAAATGGATGGATTGATGGATGTTGGCGAATCAACAGTTTTGTAAAGTCCTACGAGATAACTACTGTTGTGATTTAGTGCTGTACAAAAATACATTGATTTAATCGAACCTACTTATTTTATCTACTGAAATTATCAAAGAATTTCCCACAAAATGACTCAATCATTACTCTCCAATATTATCCACCCCCATGGTCTGATCTCATTTTTTTCATATGTAAATTATAAGAATTCTTTACCCCAGCTAAAACTCAAATCTTTCCCTATTTTTCCCCTTAGATTCTAGTGAAAGGGCGACTGCGCTCTCTTGCACTGGGAGGCAGGTCACACAACGCTGGCCCCAGGCGCTGGTGTTCTGCTGGGTGTTCCAGTGGGAAACAGGCCCTCCTCAAAGGCATCATTGTCCCCGTTTAGGTCACCAGTGTGCAAAATGAATAAATCAAAGAGGAGAGATCAAGAGGGGTGAGGGGGGGAGAGCCATAAATCAGTCACCCACAATCTGAACAATAAATAACTTTTAGTATCTTTATGGTCATGTTTTCTTCACCACAATTTAATCTGATGTCTTTTAAGTGCTTATTTATGTCTGTGGCTTTTTTAGTTCATTTGATTTGAGACTTTCTCTGAAACTGAGGTTGTTGATGTTTTGTGATTTGATTTTAGAGCCGTGAATCTTATTGACATATTAAGGCTGGGGTTAAATACAGGCAGTCTGTATACATCTTCTACCTACAAACTGTTTAGTGATATTTTATAAGTAACAAGAGGAGGGCACACACAGATTAGATTTCTGTTCCAAAAAAGCCGCTGCATTTGAACCTCAGTTATTATCATGAACCAACAAATTTGGCTGAATATAGTGTTTTCTGGACTTACACTTACAAAGTGGACTTGACAATGTTTTAGGAGCACTATTTTAGGAATGTCCTATTTCACACAGTCTGGAATGTAACTTATTTGTCTCCCCACAGATAACTTGGTGACACCATCACTAAAGTAATGGTCAAATTTGTGTCCACGGGTTTCAGCGTGATGCAATTAAGGATGGTTAACTTGTCAGATAATAATTGATCATTGATCAAAAATGTAAATCTTTTGAATAAGAAAATGGCCCCTTATTTTTCCCATCCTTCCATTGCCACAAAGGAAACCTGTCAGAACGAGAGGCAGCTACAGCACATCTCATGTCCAGATACTGATGCTCAGCTTGGTCAGGAGTAGGAGGATTTTACCTTTGATTTATGTCTTTTTGGGAATTTGGGGTGGGTTTCCCCCAGACACTCCAGTTTTCCTTATCGCCCAAATAATGCACAATCACTTTGATAACCTGCACTAGTCTTGCACTGTTGACATGTTTATTGATGTAGGGCCTATATTTTTAATATATTATTATTTTTATTTTACTAAGTATTGTTGTGCATACCTACAGCTATATCTTAGTTTGTGAAAATTAGGGTGATATTGATATAGAAATATCCTCTAGCGAAGGACCAGACCAAGCCGAGCATCAGCCTCCTGACCATGCCCAAGAAACATTGGAAGAACGAGATAAATTCTGGCGACACATTTCCCCAAGCTGCGGCTTACAGTATAGTCCGGAATTTACGGTAATGACATGGAACAATGCAAAAGGTTGAATAGCTGCTTTTATAGGATGTAAAGACGCTTTAAGATTTTGATTTAATTCCCCGAAGCTGCATAATTATTCCTCTTGTTTGCAGCATCCAGCACAGGTGTGCGAGTGCCCCATATAATGACTATCTTGTGAACATATGCATCTGGGCCGCTCCATACTGGGCCCTCTGTCCTTTCCACACAGACACATTCAGTTAGATTCTGGGCTCTCTACAGGTGCCACATCTGCTCCTCTCTCACATCTGCTCCGGCTCTGATAAGTTCACTCAAAGCTGGACTCAACTCGGCGGCTAACACATTTCCTTCAGTTTCGTTCCAACCAAGAGCGACAAGTTAAAGGTTTTTTTTTTTTTTCACAAAATGTCCTCATTATTTGACCAGGCCCACAAGTTCATGAGCAGAGCCGTGGCGGTTAATGGACGTCTGTGTTGGCGTCGGGATGTTGAACAGTCATCACACTGTTATTGCATTGAACAACCCCCCAACATCTTCCACCGCAAACACATCCCGCACATAAGCATGGCTCTGTCTCGCTCCAATCACTGTTTGACTAACTCTGAACAAGTTTGTCTTCAATAGGGGCCATTTAAAAACTGTTTTGTATAGGCCAAAGGGACATTTGTTGTGCCACCCTGCAGTTTGGAGCCAATATTTTGGCGTTTACAAATGATTCCATACAACAAACAAACAAACAAACTATAGCATTATCCGCTAGTCATTTCTTAATCCTAAATTTGTGTTATGTACACATTTACTCACACGCACACACATGCACCAAAGTAAACTTGAAATGTAATATTGATTACTGTATTTGCACCTGAATTCTAAAGTAAATAAATATACTAGTCAGGAAATCTCGGTGTGGGCGAGAGGAGGCTTTGGGAACTCTCCCTATTTGGCACAACAGACGAGTCCTCAACAAGAATTAAGTTGTTCGGAACAACATGCTGCACCAAGATGTGGGGCACCATGGGTAATCTCCCTGTGCCTCTCGACCTGTGCTACTCCAATTGAGGAACACCGGAGCCTCCAGAACTATCTATGTGTGTAATGTTACAATACAATGTTGTAAACTATACTCCCTTTAGCAAAAGGCCATACACTATAATTATATATGATTATAAATAGTCATTACAATTATAAGATTTTTTCGATGTTAGGGCTCTTACCATGCAAATTCAAAGAAAGAAAGTTTTGCTGCACATGCATAGAGATACTATTTACATTTTAAACATAAAAAGCATAAAAACCATGGAATGATCAATTATAAAATACTTTAAATAATTTCTTCATACAAAAGTTTTAATATGTGTTTGAATTGTTTAATGCTATGACAACAAGAACTGATGAAAAAGTTTGATCCATCCTTTCTGCATTGTTACTTTATTTTGTTACTTAAAGGTCACAAAAATGTTGCAGAGAAGAGGAAGCTGAAACCCTTGAATGGAGCAATAAATGCCCTGTGGGTGGCCTGTTTGTGGAGAGGCGCTGAATTCTGAGGAGCCGTGGAGAATGGTTTTTGGCTGTTGGATGGATCCTCACATGTGTGTGCACTTGCTGCTTCTGTGCATGTTTCTGGACTTCCTGTGGAGAGGGGGAGCGGGGGAGGAGAAGATGGGGGTGAGCAGACCCTTGACCCTGACCACATGTCCCGGTCTGAGCTGATCACCCACACTTCCGCTGGAAACACCTCTGTGATCTGCGGACTCTGGAGGATCTGCAGAGATCCAGGCTCATCAGAGTTCAGAATCATCAAGACCGTGATCTTTTTATGTTTCAGTTTGCATCAACACAAATGTAAGTTATTTTAGTTTGGTTTGACCAGGTTCCAAGTAGAGCTTCAAAATGCAAGAAGAAGAAATGGGAACTAATCTTGAGCAAGCAATGCATTGAAAAAAGCTGGTCAAAAGTATCACATAACCCTAACCACATTCCTTTAAAAAGCCATATATTTCCAAAATGTGTTTTCATCATCACCTTTCTTCAGGTTGCTTCAACGTTAGTGTTTCCCCAACGTTAGTGTTTCCCTTTAAGAAGTAAACTTTGGACACCGTGAGAATCAGATTTGTTAAAGTACAATGGCGTGGTCCCTTCACACTGATAACACCGTTATCACATTGCTTGCATCCGATTGTTCCCCTGTTGTTTTGGTCTATCATATTCTGTGACCTATTCACCACCATCTTCACCTTTGGCTGACTTTTTGACCCAGTGCGTCTGGGAACAGCACGTCTCCTGTGTTGTTGTGCATTGCTGTAGTCATCGCTGCGAGAAAGGGAAAGAAGAGCCACCACAAGGCCACCATTGACTCAGCCTAATCAGGGCTCCATGTAAGGAGGCAGGCCCTTATCAGTTTCTGAATCACAAATTATTCAATTATATACATGTCCTCTTCCACTGCCGGTTGTGTGGACTATTTGACTAATATGGTTAAATACAGTTAAATGACATAATCGCAGGGGGTGCAATTAGACCAATGCTTGTCACTAAAAAGGCCAGTTTGTGCGTCCAGCGAGCTCTCCCCTCCATGCACCCATTCCCACTAATTCAATGTAGGGGTCTGCATTTTGGGTTATTGAATTTACTTGGATTGATTAGCTCTTGGCATTGACTGATGCTTGAACAGAGGGGGCGGTGTGTTGGTTGGAGACAGACAGAATGTTTGTACATGCATCTTCTTTAATCCACTATTAATCAAATATTCCTGATAAAGCAAAGTAGCTCAGGGTCAATGGGCATGTCTTGTGCCGATCCCAAAGTCCATCGTTTCACTTGAACAGGCTGTGCACATTTTTTGCAAGATTTGCACTCGATATGGAAAAGGTTCAACAAATATTTTTAGCGGGTTACTTGCTGCCAGTGACATTCTTCAGATTTGGAGTCTGCAGAAATCCTCAAACTGGAACCCACAGTACTCCCTGATCAGAGCAACATGATCCAATCATTGTCCTAAACTTCAACTGGATTATGTACATCGAAATCTGTATAACATAATGTGTTTTTATTCTCTGTGAACCAAATCATCAAATCAATGTATTTTGAGCAAACAAGGGCGCTATTTCATTTATACTGAATATGTTGTATTTTAATATCACAGTAACATGATTAGGTGCATTGGTCAACTGTCCTGGTGGTGACCGTATGTTTGTAAAGTGGTCCTATTCCTTCTTTGTGCCGTACGTGCCATTTTTTTTTTTTTTTATTATGAAATACTATGCAAGCTACTGTGACAACACAATTTCCTTTGTGGATCAATAAAGTCTGTCTAAGTCCAAGTCGACGTACTGCTTGTTATCGCTTTGCTCGCTCAGTTCCGTTTCAAACATGTAACAATCCTTAACTATATATCATTTTATAGGTTAATTTAATATGTTTACAGTGAGACGACACCTCTCCAGATGTGACTGTGTGAAGTCAGATGCTTGTTTCCAATGTAAGAGGAGAGTTTAATGACTAAACTGTATTAATATCCAGGCAATTTTTTTTTAGATTTTTTATTCAACGTTTTTAAGCTTGGATGAACTTAAGCAAAAAGTGACCCTGACACTCAGACACTTGAGCAACACACCTTAAAGGAAACACATGTTGTTTAAATGAGTTGAGCGAGACAATTAAGTTCCATCCATCCATTTTCTTCCCCTTAATCCATTTCTGGGTTGTGGGGGTGTCAGTCAGAGCTTCACCCAGGACACAGAGCACCAGCCCCTCAGTGATCCTCCTGCAGGGCGTGAGTCTACATGAGGCATGATCTTTCAGCAGGGGCTTCAGGCAAAGTGGGGTTAAGTGTCTTGCCCAAGGACACAGCGACAGCAGTCATCAGTGGGACTTGTGAAGTAGGTCTCATGGTGGGTTCGAACCCACAACCTTCAGGCTCAAAGGCTCTACCAACTGAGCCACTGTCGCCCTAAACAATTAAGTTACATTAGTTTATTTATGAAAATCATTGTAAGGCAAGGCAAGTTTATTTGTGTAGCACATAAGGCAAATCAAAGTGCTGAAAAAGACCAGATAGCATTAAAATAAAAAAGTAAATAATCACAGTGCATTAAAATGAAAGATAAACGTATAAAATCCCTCAGTTGTATGCACAGCTAAACAGAACAGTTTTTAACCTGGATTTAAACATAATGTCATTGCAGTCGGCTTATTTCTCGTTTAAGCAGGTTCTCCCTTATACAATAAAACAGAAGTAAAGTGGCTCTGAGGACCTGCAGGAGGAGAAGCGTGCGCAGCAAAGTGACACAGCGCAGCTTTAGTGTTTATCGGTGATGTAAACATGCTGATTGCAACAGAGATGATGTGTTTGTTTGCGTAGAGCTGGGACAGATTGAGCAGTTTGTCACAGGTGCTATAAAAGTTGTTTCTTTGGACACGGCTCATGAACGCTGCAATGACCGTATAGACTTATGTTTGTCCCACAGATGTCTGGCCTTGTCTCTCTGCTCACTTCTGGACTTTGTGTGAAAATGCAAATAGGGAAGTGTACGCTACAAAAATCATGTGTTTGTTTATTGTATACAATGACTTATTTCAGTTCATTTCGTTCTTGTTTGTGACCAGTTTAGTTTGACATATACATTGAGATGTGCCTGGCCATTATCAACACAATTCAAGTTTTTACCAACACAGAAAATATGTTTTCTTTGTTCAGAGATGTCAGTGCAATATCTTTGGTTTTAAGCAAATAAATGTATCCTACTTTAAAAAGACATGATTCCAGAATAATGACCTAAATTCAAGTCATTTTAATAAGTACTCATTCTTATAATTGCTGAGACTATTGATGATTAAAAATATATGTTTGTTATGTTCTACATTGTGTAATGCAAATTTCATGATCTTATTAGATAGATAAGATTCAATGATAATCCATGTTGTTTGTCAGAAATAGTCTCATAAAACTAACATCATGTGAAATAATTAGACAGTCTTGATCTTATTGGAAGAGAAAGTGCCCTGTGAGTCACTATTTGATGCTTTGGGCTGAGATCTGAGTGCGGGTTTTCTCTTTTGTGGAAATTAGCGATGAGTGAACTAAACTGCTTTGAGAGCATGGACCTCGTTAGAAGGATTGTGATCACAAATTATTTTATGTGGTTTTAAAGTTAAGTCCTCTGGCTTAAACAGATGAGAATGCCAAAAAATATTTCTCACAAATCAGATAGAGTGCTTTGCTGAGACCTGACAAATGTCCGAAAGACAGAATGTGGTTCCGGCGCGAGGCAGGGGGCAGCGTTCAGAGTGTGATGTCGTTAGTCCGTGGGGGGCCGGGCTGTTCCTTTGACTGCTCTTTACAGGAACAGGACATTTTGATTAAGACAGCAGCACATGTGCATTCTTTCATGCCCTAGAAAAGGAACGATTAAACCAATTATATAACCAGTCCAACACACGCGACATAAGACTCCGAAAGGCTCTTTGTTGGACAGATGCCAGCCTGTCAGACGCAGCCTTGCCATGAGGTAGTGCATTGGCCCGACTTCCAGACAGACTGGACTCAGGTAGAGTTCGGAGCTGGAGTGTTTACGAGACTATACGCTGGTGTAATCCAAGTAATTGTTTATTACAGACCTTGGCCAATGGCATGCTGTGTTTTGTGGAGCTCGTGCCCCATAAAAATCAGCTTTGTTTCCTGTCTGGGTTCTATAGTTCACAATCAAAACCCAAATATAATTATTGTAGCAATGGTTTATATAAATGTAGGGTTTCTGCCATTGTAAAATATGTTATTAAAGATTATTAGAGTTTCAGTGACACTCTGTTGGTTTGGGCCATAAAAGTATGCAGCGCAGTCAGTGGGGGATGATATATTTAAGAGCGCACGGTGAGTGTGTAGCCACTTCCTCAATCAGATGGTAGAATAAATTGTGGCCATTAGCAAGGCAAAGTGGGCCTAGAATAACACAGACCTTTAAAGTCATTAAAACAGCTGGGTTTGGTCGCATACTTACCTGTATCAGAGTCTGCTCCGTGAATTATGTCTTGTTTTATAAGCGGCTCCGAGCGCAGATGGGTGTGCGTCACAGTCCGTGCACGTGGACCGCGTCACAAACCCACACAAGCTGCGATTACAGTTACAACAATCACACACCCAGCTGGGGCTCGGCAAAGTGATTCATCCAGCTTTGTCGATCTGGTGAGCAAAAACACAGAGAAAATGCATATGTGAGCAGAGATTACACTAATACTGTCACTGTTCTAGGCAGGAGGTTTTTGGGTACAGTCTATTTAGATGTTTCACAGTTATATTAATCATTAGTTATTGTATCGCTAGTTACTGTCTAAGTTGTGTCTTTCTTGTCAATCTGTGGGTAGTGTGAAAGCGTTCAATATTCAATCTATATTTATATCAATATACAACAGAAATTATGAGAACAAAGAATTAACCTTTTTCCAATATTAACAGTTAATCCTTCCCTGTCTAATATAGAGTTGTTTTCATAGACTGTAATGTTTGCCTCTAAAGAAGAAGATAAGGAATCTGCAGCCAAATGTGGGTATAGCAACAACGGAACAACCAAAGAACCCATCAGGAGTGGCACTGGTCAGTTCCTTCACGCTAATTGCGATTCAAAGCCAAATTTGGAGACAGAAGATGCTTCGTTGGTCAGTTGTTACGGCTCATATCTGGGTTTACAAAAACATTATCAACGTATAAAGACCAGGATTTGTGCCCAAAACAGTGAGTGGGACTCTTAACGTCTGTTTTGTGTGTGTCTGTGTGTGTGTGTGTGCATGTGTGTCTGTGTGTGTGTGTGCGCAGACATATAGTCCTCACAGAAATAGTCCTGGAGAGGACAGGAGCTCCGTCATTTGAGGCGGTGCACACACACAGCTGCACATGTCAACTCCGGCTGCATCTGTGCAAGATACATCCGTCAGAGCCTCCACATCTGTGCCCTCCTACACACACACGTACACACGCACACACACACGCACACGCACACACACACACCCGTACATACACGTACACACATATTGTGCATACATTGATGTCAGGTTTCCAGGCTTTCACTTTCTTCCCGTTCCTGTACCTAATACCATTTACAGCTGATCTAACGGCCCTAAATCTGGATAACACTCAGCCAATCCAATCCACTTTTTTATATAGCACATTTAACACGTTTCCAAAGTAATGCATAGATAAAAGTAACACAAACAAGTCTACAAGTTTTCTACAAGTTTTATACTTTCCTAATTAATAGTTGGCGTACCTAACTTTATTATTGCACAATTATTTTGTTTGTCCTAGCAGAAAGAGTCCTGGAAAAGTAACAAAATCAGACCACAACTTCATCTTAATAG